GTTGCAGCTGGGCTCCAACGAGAGCAGCCTTTCTTTTCTGTTTTGTTTTCTGGCATGCCCAGTAGTACCCTTATTGCCTTTTTGTAGTCCTGGGTTCCTTATAAAGTTACCCAATACCAAAAGGGAGCCCTTTTCATTCCTGGGTTACTTGGCATCCTAGTTTTTCGTAGGTTTCAGGGTTCAAGCATGCGAGTTTAGGGTCTGGCATAAACAATACCACCATGATGGCTTGTGAGATAAAGCATTGTTTCGAGCTCTTATAGAACCCAGCAAGAAGCCTTAAGCACCCCCTTTAGGGTTTAGGGTTACGGGTTTTAGGGTTTAGGGTTCCTTGTGTCTGGCCAGGCAGAACCAGGTGTTCCAGCGTTTCCGGACAAGTTCGGGGGTTTAGATTTTAGGATTTGCGGGTGCTACTTGAGCTCGCAGTTCGTCACGTCGTCTGTGAGTCCCTCATAATTTTTGATGGAAGCAGGGGAAACTGACCTTCAACATCACATTGAAGCAACTAAGCAATGCAAGCAACTACTATACCCTATACCGTGTAATAAGTTCCACGCAATGCACGGTTCAGAATCTAAGAAGACGCCATCCCCAAATCACTAGGTACAGGCGTATCTGGACCTTTTTTGAGACGGCCCAGACTTGCAGATGCAGGTAGTTCAGGCTAGGGATGACCCTCGTGGGGGTCGAGCGTGTCAGGTCTAAGCGCAGGGTTTGGACTCGTTTGGACTGCCCTAAGCCCTCAACCCCTAAACCGCTAAACCCCCTTATCCCTGAAGCCCTAAGCCAACCCTAAACGCTGAACCCTCAACCCTACACCCCTCAACCCTATAGATCCCTTAAAGGAACCCTTAAGGATCCCTTATAGATCCCTTTAAAGGAACCCTCAACGCTAAACCCTGACTTTTGTCATAGTTGGGTAACATTTTACATTTTTATGGGTACTTAAACCCAATAAGGAACAAAAATGTACATTGTTAATCCTGTCCCAACAACGAACTAGTGACCAAAATCCCTATAGACCCTAAACCCTAAACCCCATAGCTCCCGTTAAGGAACCCTAGGGATCCCTTTAAGGAGCCCTTTATGAAGGCCCCTTGACAGCCACCCATTTGGATTCTTCAGGAGCAGGTCCAAGTACCTAATAATCATATACTCTCCGAAATCCTAACCTACTATCCTAAAACCGAGTACCTAATTATTGGGTCCTTTGGACCCTTGGGGTGAATGATGGGTTTGGGATTTAGGTTTGGGGTTCTAGATTCGAGAAGTCATTCTGGCTTAGGGATTCCTCAGGAGTGGGCATTTCCGGCACCCCACTCGGAGAGTCAGCTTGCCTCCAAGGCTCTCTGGGCCGCTGGTTGCTTTCAGGAATTCCTAGGGGTATTTACCCCCAAAGTAGTTCCTTTTTGGGATTACCTCATAGGATTCTAAATACAAACCCAAAACTTAGGGGTACTTAGAGAAATAATTATTAAGTTTTGGGTTATTATAATCCGTATAGTCAGGAACTGAGGGTTCTTACTTGGCAAATGGGAGAACTTTGAGGTTTTTGGCCTTACATCCTTGCTCTATCTTTTCAGACCTGATTTTTTGGCGCCCGGTTCTTGAAGAAGAGAGGGTTCGCGGTTCTGGGGTGACATTTGGCTTTACTGGGGCTTGGGCTTCAATAGGGCATGAGGCGGTGAAGCGCGCCGTGTGGGGTTCACGGGAAGTTATGATTTAAGGATCATTCAGTTCAGTCTTTAAGGCTTACTTAAAGGATCATGGGACTTAGTAGCTTGGGTTATTCTTAAGGTAATTATACTTATAATTGCCTGTAAGCCCAATTAAGGTACTTATAACCATGCTTACTAAGTCCCATAATCCTCCAAGTTAGATTCATTGCTTATACTTAGTTGTGATTCATGGACTAGTCCTCTCAAGTAGTACATAAAGGCTATTTAGAACGTTACCGTAAAGTAAAAGCCAGAAAGTTGGAATATGATTATCCTAAACCCTTTACTGTAAATTATAAGGTATCCTACCCTGAAACCATATTCCAACTTTCTGGAGTTCCCTGTAGCTCAAAACCCAGATTCAAGACGCTCCGAGAGCCTTGAACCGCATGGAACCCGGAAGCTGAGAAATCCCAGAAGCTGCTTGGAGGGGCAGGGGACTTAGTAAGGGTTCTTAAAGGGCTCCTTATAGGGATCTCTAGGGTTCCTTAAAGGGATCTATGGGGTTTAGGGTTTAGGGTCTACTTGGAGGGGCAGGGGACTTAGTAAGTATGGTTATAAGTAGAGTTATAGGTACCCTAAATGGACTTACCCCAATTATAACCCTACTTATAACCTACATACTAAGTCCCCTGCCCCTCCAAGTGGAAAGGACTCCTAGGATGCCCAGTAGTACCCATATTCCCTTTTTGTAGTCCTAGGTTCCTTATAAAGTTACCCAGTACCAAAAAGAGAGGCCTTTTTATTCTTAGGTTACTGGGTATCCTAGACTCCAAAGCCCAACCCGTCTTGAAACATTTCGATTCCGGGAGGCGATCCGGGTCTTGCTGCTGCTCCGGCGCTTGCATGGCGATCTCTCGCGCAAGGATCTTAGGGGTACTTAGAAATAGTTTTTAATTTTTGGTTATTATAATTCCCTAGGAAACAGCTAAAATTCTAATTTTTGCTAGGGTTCTAAGTTCAGTATAGGGATGGGCGTAGCCGAAACCCTAGGCCCTGACCAGCAGATTTGGGGGGGTAGTCTTAGATTGCGGTCTGCAGCCGTTGATTGTTTAGGGTTTAGGGTTTAGGGTTTAGGGCTTAGGGCCCAAAAGTTGGAAACCCAATAGCCTCAGTCTTTAAGAGTAAGGCAAAGGGAATCCCAGCACTATTTGGCCTTAATCCGGTTTCCAACTTTTTGGGGTTTACTGTAGGGCATACTGGCTGTAAGTTTTGAAGGGGGCAGTCGTTTCCTGTTGCTGGAGTTGCCATGCTACAGCTTGTAACTTCGGTGTGGCAAACATGAATCCTAAACCTTCAAAGTAAATCCTAAACCCTAAGCCCTAAATCCTGAATCCTTAAAACAAGTCCTTAATCCTAAACGCAGAATCCTAAGCCTTCAACCCTAAGCCCTAGGTTAGAAGAGCACGCTTGAACAACATGTTGCCAAGGTATGAGTTCTATTCTTTGGGATTACCTAGTGCAACTATGCCATAGAAACTCACCCGCAATGCCTTGTCTGTTTGTCCAGGGCGGTAGGGTATGAGAGATGTGAAAGCACCTTGGGGGTAGTTAGAAATAGTTGTTAATTTTTGGTTATTATAATCCCTAAGAAGCCGCTAAAATTAAAAACAATTTTGCCAGGGTTCTAAGTTCAGTATATCAAACCCTACAAAATAGTAGGTTATGACCCCTTAATCAGAGGGTCTGACCCTTAAAACGGTAGGTTTTTGGATCCGCACGGAGAGATGTGAAAGCACGGGAAGGTGCAGGTCAACCCTAAGCCGCCGAAACCATGGTCTGACCCTTGTTAGAACCCCAAAAAGCACATAAGCATAAGCATTTTACCGGGATATCCCTACCTTATTGGGGCTTCATTATAAGGGGATTTATTTGGCGTATCCCTATCCTAATTTTTGCTTATGTGCTTTTTTTGGGCCCTACCTTGACGCGAAGCTGTGCGGGGTTTAGGGTTTGGAGCCGTTTAGGCTTTGGGGTTTTCGGATGTAGGTTTAAATGAGGTGCTTACCCAATCTTCGAGACTAGAACTGCTACTGTATTGCATCAGGAGGGCTAATAGGGACGGTTTACTAGCAGGCTCGGTTTAGCGTATGGTTTTGGGGGTTTGGGGCCGGGTCGGTGTAAGTATCGACAAGTAAGGGGTTTGGGGCAGTTTATATTACCAGGAATTGTGGGTTTGTCGTCGGGCATACAGTTTTTTGTTGTTTGCGGGAAATGATTTTGTGTAGTTTCGGGTTAGGATAGGATAAGTGATAAAAGTTATCGAGAAATAATGGGTTTCATATGAGGGCTTATGGCTGGATGTTTCAAAAGTTGTGCTAGGGGGCTTGAATTTCTGGGGGTCTTTCAGATCGGTCGTTCGTCGTTCGCCCTGCTCAACCTGGTGGTCCTGGACGAGCTCATCATCTTCGGCTGGTGCCCCTTGCATGTTTGGGGTTTCGGTGGCAGTTCGTTTGTGCGTGCAGGAGGGCATTTGCAACTGACATGTCGTTCGAGAGAGCCCGTGTTGAGCGAGTATCCTTAAGCTTTGGCTTCAGACACTGCCGTGAGTGATAGGTTGGAAGGCACGTTCACATTTCACAGATTCAGAACTTTTCACAGATTGTCACATTGTCATTTTTGGGGTCATTCGGAATAAGTCGTTCGGTCTTCAGGCCGTTCGGTTTTTGGTGTCTGTTTTAGGGGTCGTTCGCATTTTGCGAACTCCGTCGTCGCCGATCATCATGGCCGGTCGCACTGGCCCCCGCCGCTCGTCGGACGAGGACCTCAACTACGAGGGCATCGACGACCCGATCGACGAGGGGCGGTTCTACAAAGGACCGTTGATCGTGGCGTACGGGGCGGAAGAGCCCTACAACACGAGTGGCCGTTCGGGGGCCGTTCGTGACTCGTCTCAAACCAGGTAGTACGACATTTCCGCATCAAGTTGAGTTGGAGCTGTAGCATGAATTGAGTGTTTAGCCATGACTGAGGTCAGAAGGGGCATAGCTGCATGCCGGGGCTCTTGAAGAGAAGGTGGTATGACGTCAACGGAACCCAAGGCTCCGTGGACGTTCGGGGCATTTGGGACAACGATGCCGGAGCCAGGAATGCCGCCGCTCCAGGCCATTTTTAGCTCATAGAATCATAATCATGTCATGTTTTGCAGTTCGGAGTTCGGCTTCATTACATTGCCATTTCAAGAGTCACTCGTGGGAGGCAATCCGTTGTGCAAGCTGGCGGCGTTCAGGGGGCGCGTTCAGGGGGCCGTTCCAACAAGAGGAGTTCCGGCCCTGCTTCGTCATGCTTTGTGCCATTCTGGAGGGCCTTTTCAAGGTCGATGGCCGTTCGGTGCTCCAGATCATCTGTCGCTGGATGCACTTTCAATTGTGTCTTGAGACAGTCTGTCGCTTGCATAGCTATGAATTCTGCTTTGTTGCAAAACATCCGAGGCAGCCACGGCAAGAATCGCAGTGCTGCCCTGGCAGTGGCACTGAGTGCACTCTTCGAGTGTCCAGTTTGGCTTCCGTCGTGCGGGGATGCCTTCTCCGAATGGTGGGCGGTGGCCCAGCTCCCGGGTGAGATCATTCAGCAGCTCGAAGAGTGGCGTTCGGAGAGCCGTTCGGGGCCATATCGCCCGGCTCACCCTGCGGGCGTTCCGGGACCTCGAACCCCGCCTGCCGATGCACCTGGAGGGCCGTACTTTGGCCACGGGACGTTCGGGGTTGAAGCCGTCGTTGCTGCCATGCCCTCGGTAGGCAATCCGCTGCTCGATGCCGCCCCTGAGCTTTAAATTAAATACGTTGCATTGCATTTCACTCATGGCATTAATTAATCATCCCTTGCCTTGGAATCCCTCAGGTTCGACTGGACGTCTGGCGTGTGGCACCCGGGGTCCTTCTGGAATTTGACGAGTTGAGGCTCGATGAGAAGTGTATGCGAGCCTCTCGATACCACTGGTTCTTGACTTGCTTAGCTGCTGCTTTACTATCAGTGAACGGAAGCTCAGGCAGTCGGAAACCTCGCTGGCCATTCGGATGACGGAGCGAAGTTCGTGCGTGAGATCTTCCAGGTGTTGCAACGAAACTCGGCTTTGTGGCGTGAGGGCTTGCCACTTGTTCTTGCCATTCGTGTGCTGCCTGAATTCATTTAATTGACTCAGGCGAGAACCAGGCCGACCTCAGGACGTACTCCAACCCGTCGGCCGCGATCACCAGTGCCTGCCGTAAGGAGTTGGATCGCTTGAGGCCAGAGATTGCAGGTCTGCCGGGATCGTCGGGTCGCTCGGACTGAAGTTTTTGACTTTGGCATTTTGCACATGAGCCAGTCAGGTTAGCTGCAGATTTGAAGTTGAGGCGATCGTCCTGCCAAAGACGGTGGTCGTTCGGGTCACGGCCGCCAGCACTACGACGACTTCGACACTCGCCGAGAAGAGGATCGTCGCCGTGACTTGCATTCATTCAGGCTGCAGTTCGAGACAGAGTGTTTTTTGTTGGTTGGAGCCCTTTAAGGTTACGGGGCCCAGCGTCAGTCGAGCCCTCCTCCTCATGCCGGCCGCGACTATCGTGACGAGCCAGATGTTTGGCGTTCGTACCAGTCGCCCTACGATCGCGATCGGGCCGAACGTGATCGTCGTGATCGGGAGGACCGTGAGCGGGCGTTCGATCGAGACAGGGCAGATCGCGAGCGGGCCGATCGTGACCGGGACGATCGTGGCGGCGGCTACTACCGGCGTCCGTACTACGAGGACGATCGCATCTCGGACCCTGGTCACCCGGGCCGCCCAGTGCCACGGTGGATGGCCGATCGTGATCGTCGCCCAGAAGAGCCGGCCGCTTGACTGTTATCGAAGGTTTCTGCATGTATGCATATTGCATTGCACATGAGCACAACGTGACTGACATTCAGGACTTTCGCCGTCCCCGCTTTCACGATCGCCGGCCGTAGGTCGTTCGGTGGTCGTTCGGAGTGCCTCGGTTTCTTTATGTCATGTTATTTGTGTGTGTGCTTTTGTATTGCATTGCACACGGAAGCTTTGCACATCTCAGGTGGCCCCATGGACTATGAACTCCCGACATTTTGCCACAGCGGCCGCCGTTCGGGAGCCAGTTTTGCCTGGCCGGAGTTGCCTGGAGGGGTGGAAAAAAAAGTTGTGGGTGCTTCAGCGTGTGCTCGGTCGTGCATTGCGAGCTCATATCATGTCATACTGCCATCGCTTGTCGTGCCAGGTGCTGGACGTTCGAGCTCAGGCGTGTGCCCGGGGAGTTTTCGGCGTTCGGTGGGTTTCGTCGTTCGGTGAAGTTCTGTGATTCCTGGGGTTTCTGAGTGCGAGCTGTGTGCGTGCCGAGTGCTCTGCATTTCCCACTTTAAATAGTAGTAATAATAATAACAATAGTAATATTTAAAAAATAAGTTAAATGAATAAAGCCCTGACACCAAACCCAATTAAGCATCCAACTAAAAAACACCACACCACAACATAGACCATTCGCCCGGGCACTACCAATTAATTTACATAATGTAAACAAAGCCCAAAACCAGCCCATAAACAATTAATAGGACAATCCCCAACCCTGAATACCCGGAACCCCAAAACACGGAACACCAAACTCTATATCCCAAACACCTTACCCGAAATCCCAAACTCTTCTATTCTTGTTACTATAAAGAAAACCATCGCCCTGAACTAACACAAAAATCTTACACAAGCCCCTGCACCCTTTCCCTATATCTCAAACCTGATGAAACTTTTTCTGTACTTAATGACACTATAATATTAAATTAAACTCGGGAGGTACTACTACATCACGGCCGTTCGGAACGATGCTGCAGGGTCGCTCGGGAGGCTGGTTTTTGGTAAGGTTTAGTTAAATTTCGGGCATAATAGCTTAAGCCTTAAAGTGAAAACCTTAAGCCCAAAGCTCGAGCCCTACATTGTATCCTGAATCAGCAGCTCGAGTTATCATCGGAACGGAGTCGTTCGAGCCTAGGACAGCAGGTGTAATTTGTCGTTCGAATAGGAAAGGTTTCCCACGAAAGGACACATCGGATTTGGGTTTAAGTCGCATTGCAAAGCCCAGGGTCAGTGAGTACCGGCGTTCGGTGGTGTTTCATTCTCAAGGGTAGCAAGTGAGATTCACCTAGTTCGTTGGCAAAAGTCCAGCACTCCAGACTCCGGGCGGTCGTTCGTGTCGTCGTTCGTCGTCGTTGGTCGCTAGCATGGTTGCCAGGGCCAGGACCTCCGGGGCGAGCGACAAGAAGGCGACGGCCGCCAAGAAGCAGCAGGAGAAGGCAGCCGCTCGGAGACGTGTGAAGGAAGCGAAGATGCAGAAGAAGGCGGAGAAGACGTTCGCCAAGAGCATGGCCACCTTCGCTGAGTCGTCGTTCGAGCGAGCACGGGCGTTCGTGGACTCGGCGCTGGATGACAATCCTGGGTGGGTCAGGCCGCTCGCGGACCTGATTCGCGACGGTGCCCTGCAGACCTTGCTCAAGAGTGGCCAGTCGTCGGCCGAGGGCGGCGGTGGGGACGGTCGGACCCAGCCCAAAAAGTGGGCCGGCAAAGCCAAGACGTTCGGTGACTTGCCGGAGGAGGCGAAGGTGCACATGCTCTCGAAGATCGGCGTCGACATTGAGTCCAACGGTGTGTCGGCCGACGTTCTGGACGGCTTTTTCGTCGTTCAGTTCTTCGTCGACCCCGACACACCGTTGCCGGCCGGTGCTCGGTCCTTCGACGTTCTCGAGAAGATGGCCAAGCAGCGGTTCGAGACCCTCGGCGAGCATCGTGTGGCACCCCACGTGACCTCGGAGTTCGACTTCAAGTGCTTCGCCTTGGAGGGCGACCAGGTACCGAACGCCCTGGACGGGGAGTCGGCCAGCCTTCGCGGTCGGGAGCCACGAGTGGGTTCTGGACGACGAAAGCCAGCCGACGGCCAGGGTGTCATCGAAGGCCAACCCGCATTTGTCGTTCGGTTGCCGTACCTTGTTCGACACATTGCGGTCCATCGATCCCAAGGCCAAGTGGGTCATGAAGAAGGACGAGTGAGTCAGTGTGAGTCTCTCGGGTTGTCGTTGTTCGAGACAACGGCAAGTTTTGCGGGGATCCTGTAGTTCGGCTACATTGGGGATGCACACGAAGCAAAAAGAACCCTTTCAAGTCGCTTATGTGCGTTTCAGCAGTTTCGAGGTGCATTTCAGGTGTTTTTTCAGCTTTTTTCCAGTGTTTTGGGCAGTGTTCGGTGAGTAGTGCCTCTAGTGGACACTTTTCTGCGTTAAGGGCTGCCGGGTTAGGGACAACAACCCTTTTCAGTAGATTAGGTGCGTTTCAGCAGTTTCCAGGTGCATTTCAGGTGTTTTTCAGGGTTTTTCCAAGGTTTTTGGCGGCATTTCGCAGTTCTAGTGGCAATCCAAAGCAAAACCAAGCCAACTCCGGACAGGCTGGCCCAGCGGCCCGGTGCTCGTCCTGTGCCTCACTTTCTGCGGGCAGTGCCTTGGCGTTTGCTGCGAACAAAGCTGCCCTGCTCAAGGAAGGCTCGCCCCTGAAAGGGGCCCTAAGCACTTGCAGTTGCAGACCCAAAGACCTTGCACGGGCAGAGACAGTCACGACTAGCAGGTTTTAGCCGGTAAGCTTAATCAACCGTGATCATGGCGGTCGTGCGTGAAGCAGAGGCAGAAAGGGACGTTCGCGAAGCAGAGGCCCCGGCGGAAAGGGCGGGCCAGAGACAGGCCGTGCAGCGGGAGAGGGTGGTTCGGGCGATCGTTCTGCCCTGTGGCCCTCACGGGTCCTTCAAGGGGGAGGTGTATCAGTACACCACGCCCGTCGCTGCTCGCGACGGCCACTCGAGACCTGGTTTCTTCTTCTGGGTCTTCCGATGGATGATCGATTTCCTGGGCGGTGTGGGGATCGCCAACATGGCCGGTCGCTCGCGGGAGCCGATAGCCAATCGCACCGCAGCAGTCATTTTTGATGGCCTTTCGTCGTCTGATGAGGAAGTTCAGAAGATGGGCGAGGAGGCGAAGGAGGAGGACGAGGAGGCCATCGCCTTGCCGGTCGCGGACGACCACTTGACGTCCTCCAGCATGATGGCAAAGCAGGTTGCCGTCAGTGCCAGGAAGCGGAAGGCCGCCGCCAACGACGAGGATGTTCGCGAGGACGTTGGGGACCGGGAGGCGGAGGAGGAGGAGGAGGATGAGCCGCTCAGCAGGGGCGACTTTAGCCTGTCGTCTTTCGCCTGCATCTGTTGGCTAGGCCAGCTTATGGCATAGGGCCCTCGTGCGAATGCGAAATGGAATCTGGAGCCGAATGATATCAAGGCCCGTGCAGAGGGCATTCTGCAAGGGATGCGAGACACCTTCTGGCAGGACGTTCGAAAAGGCTGCTTTCAGATCGTGCGGGGCGAGGTGTCGGTCCAGTCTCTCGTCAAGGAGCACGGCCAGATCGCAGCGAAGATCTTCAACAAGCAGGAGCAGGTTGAGGTGGTGGAAGCCTTGAGAATCCTGCAAGCTGATGCCGTTCGCAGGAGCTTGAGTCAGGACCGGCGGAGGGCGGCAGAGAAGCTGTTCGCTCGTTTCGTCCGGTCTCTCGCAGAGAGCATCGACGACACTGTCGGCAAACCGCTCTGGACGGCCACTCGAGTGGATGCCTTGGACCAGCTAAGGACCCGGAAGTCTTGCAAATGGGGTTATTTAGTTAATGCAAGCCCTAAACCCTTAAACCAGCGAATTATAAGACCCTTTAATGTTGTCGATGTGCGTTTCAGCTTTTTCCTGGTGCGTTTCAGCTTTTTCTTAGGGTTTTGGGTATCTTTTGTGAGGGATGGCAGTTCTTCCTTGCAGGACGGCCCGAGGGTATCGCAGATCGTCGCACGGCTGCCAGGAAGCCATTTTGGATGCGGGTGGACAGGCAGGCCCATCGATCGCCGGGGTTTTTGTGGCTCAGAGCCATTTCGCCTCGGGCTCGGGGGCGGCCGAGACGAAACGAAACAGGGAACGACCCTCGAAGTTCCTTGAGGCCGAGCGTTTGTCCTACGTCGCTGCTGGTCGCTCGGTTTTGGCACAGGCTCCCGTTCTCAGCGTCGTCGCTGATGCCGTCCACGTGGGACAGGAGGACTGGCTGAACGTTTTCCTCTGCGACACAAGCGAGGACGTGTCTTTCCTTTGCCCGCCACAGGCAGACTGAGAGGGTTGGGCAATGCTTTTGGGAGGCGTATTTTGGCAAATTTCTGCAGTAAATGGGCCCTCATAAAACCATACAGTAAACCGCGCCTAAGGTCGACCATACAGCAAACCGCGCCTAAGAAACCATACAGTAAACCGCGCCTAAAAAACCATACAGTAAACCCTGCCTTTTTCGCTTTTCGCCAGGGTCCCGGTTTTGCCAGGTCCCCGCCATTCAGCCAAAACCATACAGCAAACCGCGCCTAGCAAAACCATACACTAAACCGAGCCTAAGGAATCCCCGGCACAACCATACGTCAAACCGCGCCTAATTTTTGTATAGCAAAACGAGTCCATTTTTGGCCAAAAATGGACTCTTTTTTGGCCTTCCGGATATGAGGTCGGAGAAGGTTTTCACAGCATCCAAGCTTTGTGTCCTGACTGCAACTTCTGATCACAAAGGGAGCACAATCCTGCAAACCAACAGCAGTGCCGTAAGGTATGTATCGTCAATTGTAAGGCAGTAGAGTCTATGTGTGCTTTTTTGCGGGCAAAGTATCCAGCTGCTGTTGTTGCTTTGGGATTCCTAGCCCTTTAGAGAAGCAATTCAGAGCGGGGCCCCAAGCCTGAATCTCTATAGAGTTTGGAGTCAAAGTTTTGCCTGTGACAGGTGAAGAAAGGGACGGCCATCACGTCGGACGACTGGACGGACATGTGGCAGGGCCGCATCACGAAGTCCTTCAAGAAGGCCGGCTCCAAAGGTCGCTCGCCACCGAAAACCACAGGCGGCTACAAGGAGCCGGAGAGGCTGGCCACTCAGGAGTGGTTCCGAGACATGTCCCACAGCCTCGCGGTCGTTGGCTGGGGCTTTTCGTCCTTCCGACGGACGAGCGAGGCAGGCCGGCCGAGGGTCTTGATCCTCTGCACGGATCAGGAGGCCACTCAGTTGGCGGCCGTGAACTACTTGAAGTTCGGCCGTTCGCTGTTCGTGGAGCACGTCAACGACCCGGCTCACCGTTCCCACAACGACGTGAACCTCGCGATGGCGGCGGCCGGTCTGCTGACGTTCGGCCTCGTGTCCATCGGCCTCTACAACGTTCGCTACGGCCCATGGAACAAGGGCACGTGGTTCGGCAAGGTCCAGACGATGGCGGACGAGATGAGTCGTTCGATGAGCCCTTCGGATCCGTTGCTGCTGACTTTCTTTCCGGACATTCTGGAGGACCAAGGCCGTTCGCAAGAGGACAACAACGAGGCCGAGCGACGTGCTTTTCTGGAGAGCCTGCCAAACAGGTCGTTCGTGAGAAGCAAGGGCAGCAAGGCCTCGCAGTCTCGCTTCAACAGTCTCTCGCAGGCCCATGCGGAGCTCGACGGCGACTGGTCGGCCTGTTGCCTCGTGCTGGTCGCTCTCTGCGTGGCCGAGGGCTGGTGCACGACGGCGTCCCAGTTGTGGTCGCCCTCCGCTGGCATGGCCGAGACGACGACGGCCGCCACGACCAGGGCAGCCGCCAAGTCGGCCGCTCGCAAGGCTCTGCAGCAGCAGAGGGGTCGTTCGGTGAACGTCTTGCACGGGATGACGATGTTCGCCTGCAACCAAGACAATCGGTCGCTGTGCTTCAACCGGAGAACGTTCGGTGCAGCACGATGCTCGCAGACCTTCGGGCGGCCGAGGCCACCGTGAGCCAGTATGCCAACTGGGCTCACTGGCAGTACATGGAGGTCGCTCGCGAGCATGTCGCCAAGCTGTCCAACCTGGCCGCTCTGAAGCGGATCGGCCTTGACATGTCCTTCGAGCTGCCAAAGGAGGAGGTTCGAGAGGACTCGCTGGCGTGGCAGGATGCAGTCGCTCACAGAGTCGTTCGCCTGACACACCGTCTCTTGCGATATCGTTGCGGCAGCCAGCTGGGGTCCACGAACGGCCGGCTTGCTGCACGAGTCTGCCGCCCTTCGACAGTCCAGCCTTCGCTTTCTGGATCGCACGGCAAGCGTGTGCAGGCCGAGGGGTCGTTGGAGGCGAAGCTCCTTGGACGGCCACTCTGCCACGGCGCCCGTGATGGCCATGTTGCTGTCCGAGTTGCGGGAGGCGTCGTTCGTGGAGGTTCCGCCGGGGACGTTCGAGTGGCTTCGCCGTTCGTGGAGCGGCCTGCTGAACTCGAAGCTCGTGGAGGACGCCAACAAGGTCCAACGTGAGGCCGAGCAGCGGAATGGCACTTCGAAGATGCTGGGTCGTTTGGAGGGCTGGCACGGTCTCTCGAGAAAGAAGCTCCTGGAGCAGTATCACAGGAGAGAGGTGCCGAGCGGCCGGATGGCGACCGTGCTCGTGAAGTTCGAGGCCGACCCGTGGTTCGTGCGGCCTCAGCGGCTCCGCACGGACCCGGGCAGTTCGTCGGCCGCCGTTCGCGAGGAGCAGGAGGAGGGCCTCACGGACCAGACCTTCGAGGACGACCTTCTGAAGGGCGTTAGCCAAGCGAGGACGTGGGCCTCTCCCACACCTGAGTCGGAACAGGACAAGCTGGCTGGGTTCTCGCTGCTCACCAAGGTCGTTCGGCAGAACATGGACTGGTCCTTCGTGGAGAAGGGATGGTGGGCAGCCTTGGCTCCCGAGGGACATGCCTTGCAGTTTCCGACTGGACCACCGTTGTACGTGGTTCGCAGCTACAAGCGAGCTTCCCCTGCCGGAGACATCGTCCGCCTGGACCTGGAGAACCCACACGTCGGATGGGTGCACCTTTTCGACGAGGCCGTGGACGTTCTGGACTTGGCTGCGACCTCGCCACAACGTGGCCTGGCCCACAAATCTCTGGTTTTTAGTATGGATTCCGTAGTAAATATTCACTTAGGCTATAGCTTCCTAAATCCTAAACCCCAAAATCCAGCACAGGGAACCCTTTAGAGTCGTTTATGTGCGTTTCAGCATTTTCTAGGTGCGTTTCAGGTGCGTTTCAGCTTTTTCGTAGGGTTTTCTATACATTCTCGATATTTTAGAGTTTACCCACGGCGTGACAGCAACGAGCAGAATCACCCGAATGTAAGCTGCAGTCAAAAAGCGCATTCTCCGCCAGGTCTCGTGTCTCTCGGTGAGACCCGGGCCATGGGAGTTGTCTTTCGGGTGCAGGCCCGATGTTCCTTGCTTCAGCACCACGAGAAGTTCGGCTTCGCAGGCGTTCCGGAGTGGGGTCTGCGACGACTCGCAGAGGTGAAGGGATGGCCGGCCGAAGCTGAGGACGAGGAGGACGACCGCCTCGCCGTGGTGTGCCTCTTGTCTCTCCAGCCAACTCTGACGAAGGACGACGTGGTCAATCGTCTCCTGTTCCGCCAGGACGTGGCCTCGTGGTCGGGCGAGTTTGGGGAGCTCGATCTGACAGAGGTCGTGCGAGACACAATGTTGGCGGCCGACCAGGACGTCGCCCTCCAACAACTTGCGAAGCGGAAAGCCGCTCGCGAGACTGCCGTGGAGATCCGGAAGCGGGTCTCGCGGACTTTCGAGGCCGTCGCCAAGACCTTTGCCAGCCGACCCGAGTACAAAAAGGCAGCGGCAGCTCGAAAGGCCAAAGAGAAGCAGGCATCGCAGCAGCAGAAGGACCATGCCGCTGCGATCAAGCGGTGCTATGCCGCCCTCAGCGACAAAGTCGCGAAGGTCGGCGTTCCCACAGCCGTCCGAGTGTATCGGGACGACTACAACGGCCGCTGGCGTCTCACGTACAGGACTGTCTGGGCTCAGGTCACTCGCAGCATTTCGTGGACTGCCGTGGGCAGTAGGAATGCCGCAGCGGAAGCCGTTCGCCAAGGCTGGCAGTGGGCGGAGACGTTCGACGGCCTGCCGATGCCGGAGGAGGCAGCAGGCCTGTTGCAGAAGTTGGCGGCTTGAGGCCTGGATTTCCGGACGTGCGATGGCAGAGAAGGACGTTCCAGAATCCACTGGGCTTTTCGGTAGTTTCACTGCGGAGTAAAGCGGCCGTCCGAGCAACGAGTGCAGAGCTTGCAGAAACGGCGTTTTGTCCTGCTTGCTGTAGCGAAAGCCAGAGTTCTTGAGAAGACGTCTTCCACAAGAAAGCCTTGCTTCGCCCAGGTCATCGCAGTTCCGTTCAAGCTCCGGCCGTTCCTGCTCTCTCTTCCAAGCACGAGGCCGCCACTCCGGGAACTTTCGCTTTGCTGTGTGGGAGTGAGCCGTTGCAGTTAACTTCTCTAAGTTTTTTCAGGGTATGGGGTTTACAGGAGGTTCGTCTGCAAACAAGTCTTGGGCCGTCACACTTGCAGCAGCAGAAGCAGTAGCAGCAGTTCTTGTTCGCTCTACCCTGTTTTTCTGCAGCGTCTTCTTTTCAAACCTCGTCTAGTCACTATAGGAGAAGCACCATGGGACGGGCCACTTTGGCGGAGACAGGTGGCGAAAGGTCCGCAAGCGCCTGGGCCCTGTTTAACTCGTGGGTCGCTCGGGAAGGCCTGACGGTCTCTCGGGCTGCGAGGTTCCGCATTCGCGGGAAGCGGATGCTCCGGGAGAAGGCAGCGATGAAGCTCAAGTGGATCCTGGGATTGTTTTATTTAGTTAGCAGATACGGCCAAACATTGACTAAACCAGGATATCTTTATATTGCTTCGGATGGTTTAGGGAGGTGTTTAGGGTTCCAAGTCAGTTTCACACCTTCGCAAAGCCTCCACTTGAAGCCCTCTTGGCCTACTAAAGTTTATACCCTAAACCACAAAACCGAACCTTTAGAACCCTTTCAGTAGCTCTATGTGCGTTTCAGATTTTTCCAGGTGCATTTCAGGTGTTTTTCAGCTTTTTCCTAAGGATTTTATACAGTTGCAAGGAGTGGGCTTTTCAAACGACAGGCTTCAGACCCAAGGAGGCCCAAGGTTGGCTTTTGAAACTGTTGCATCGGCCGATAGGGTTGCACTAAGACTACTAGGGAAGTCCTCCGAAGATTTTGGCCCAGATTGCACCTAGAACCAATTGAAGGTTCCCCAGCAAATCTAGTGAGCAAGGGTCCTACTACTTTCCCCTTGCCGTCGCACACAGTTTAAAGCTTTCCGAGAATCAACCTCCCTTGCACTGAGGAACCACCGAAAAAGCAAGGACATTCGGGAGAAGTTCGCGGCACTCGCTCAGGCGAAGTACGAGGCCAACCGAAAGAAGGCCGAGGCTTACAGAAAGGCCCAGTCGTTCGGCGATGTTTCGCCGCAAGTCGCTGCCGACGAGGCCGAGGTCGTTCGAAAAGCAGAAGCCGAAGCCCACCTGGATGCTGACCTTGCCGTTCGGGAAGTGCAGGCGGACACCTGGACCTGGACTTTGGGTCGTTCGCTTCGTGACTTCAAGCCGGTCGGCCGTGGGGCGAGCGGTGAGGTCTTCTTCGCCACCTTCGAAGGCCTTCCGGTTGCAGTGAAGCTGACAAAAGGTCGGGGGCTGCAAGCGGCAGCAACCGGCATCGACGTTCAGGAGGAGTTCGCCGTTTTGACGGCCCTGGGGCAGCACCCCAACGTCGTTCGAGCTTTCGCCGTTGTCACGAGCTCGCTGGGCCGGCCGGGCTTGGTTCTCGAGAGGGCGTCTGAGAGCCTGCATGCGAAAGCTCGCAGGCTCAAGGACGATCGGCTGGAGAACTCGCCGGCCGGCAGGGCCTCGCTGCTGGGACTTTTTTCGCAGTTCGACCTCGGCCTGTCCTTCGTGCACGGGCGTTCGGTCATGCATCTCGATGTGAAGCCCGCCAACATTCTCGTGTTCGATGACAAGAGAGCTGCCCTGGCCGACTTCGGCCATGCAGAGGGGGTCTCCGAGAACGGTTGCTCTGTGGTGGGCGATCGTGTGTACACCCTGGACTTTCGCTGCCCGGAGTGCCTCATGGCCGGCGGCCAAAAAGCATGGGTTGCTGGCGTAGCTATATCCCTGGAATCCTTAAAACGTAGGCTCAAAGTTTCTTTTCTGATCCCTGCAGTATCTTTAAGCAGTGCCTCTGCCGAACCTTGCAGCTAGCCTATTTCGGACAATGTAACAGTTAATAGGAAGGCCCGAGTTTCAATCACAGAAACCCTGCCAGGTTCGTGTCAAGTTCGCCGCTGACGTCTGGGCGGCCGCAGCCACGTTGTTCGAGGTGTGCTGCCCCAGAAAAGCTTCGCTTTTCTCAGTCCCGCCGGGGACGTTCGTGCGGGAGACCGAGGAGCAGACAGCAAAGGCCATTCGGGAGATGGCCACTGCGAGGAGCTTCAAGCTGATGCCGTACGACCAGACAATGCAGGACATCCTGGAGAAGACGTTCGTGCCGGCAGAGAAGCGACTCTCGTTGCCGGGCTTGCTTCGCATCCTGGACAAAGAGCGGTCGGCCTCGCGGTCCATCGGCAGGCCCGCCTTCGGCGACTGACGTTCCTGACTGGTCGTCTTGGACGGAAGCACCAAGAGTCGTTCGAGAACAGCTTCTCGAGCACGGTTCTTGGAGACTGTCGACTCTCGGGTCTCTCGCCCGGCGGATAAAAAAGGAGTTTCTTCAGTCAAGCAGTTGCTTTCACACAGTTTGTTTCCCTACGGTCGCTAGCCACACGTCTGCAGCAGTTGCCCGAAGCCCCGTCCGCCCTTCGACAAAGTTGTGCTGGGCAGGTACTCCATCGACGATGTCTTCTTCCTCTGGCAGAGCCTGCGTTCGGCGCCGGGGTCAGACCTCCGTCTGGCCCACTCCCCGACCCCTCCAAAACCCCCAGTTCAATCAGGAACTTACGTGAATTGCAGCATTTAGTTCACCTGGAATTGGAGTCCCCCAAAACCCACCGCAGAAAACAACAACTTCGGAGTGGGCATCCTTCAGGCGACATACTTTAAGTGTGAAACCCTGGCCACACCACCTTTTCCCAGCCCCCTCCTCTCCTCACTGTCCTCCTAGTTCGACCATTTTTCTCCACCAGCCCGATAAGCCCCTACAGTGCAGCACAAAGCCCACTTCCCGACAAATTTCTAACACAGCAAAAACAAGCATGCAATCAACAAGAAAAAGTGACCCCTTGATAGCTTTGCAGCCAGCATGTGTGCCGCCCCGCACAATATTCCTACATTGAAAGATGTTTTCAAGACCTAACAGTTCTCGGGCCCAAAAACAACAAAAAGGCATACTTCCACACTGTTTCACACGGTCACACAGGATGCCACACAGAACTATTACACACATCATCGGATTTCGCACATTTTCGCTTGCAGAAGCACCAACATCTTCAGGAATTCGCCCACTCCGACAGCTTGAAAACAACATACAGAATGGACACTTCAAAACAGCTGAACATCAGTGCACTTTTGCCTCCAGTTTTGAGCTGTTCCCATCACACGACCCCCTAGGCCAAAACCTGTCACCTAACCGGGCCTACCTTTAACCTGCCCTATTAGCCCGCCCAATTGCAGCTGTCTGTCTTATCTCAAACCCTAAACCCTGAACCACGGTTTAAGTTATCCCTTGTCCCCCGAAGATGAGTACAAGCACCGCGCAGCACCCTTGGTCGTGAACTTGTGCAACAAACTCCGAAGCCCTAAAGATCTGAACTCCCCAACCCTGCTTGGAGGATCATGGGACTTAGTCAGTATGGTTCCTTAAAGATCTATAACTATAACTATAGAGGGGGAATGGGACTCAGTACGTATGGTTGTAAATACCCTAACTGGTGCTATATGTAATTATAACTTAGGGGTACTTAGAAATACTCTCTATTTTTTGGTTGATATAATCCCTAAGAAACAGCTAAAACTATAATTTTTGCTAGGGTTCTAAGTTCAGTATAGATACGTACAGTTGCCCCAAGAATAACACTGGTTCCTCAGTCCCGTCATCCTTTACTTAAGCAAACAAAGCGCAGAAAGCCCAATATCGCTTAATAAACAATGTGCCTCAAACCATATCAAGGAGCCTGGTAAAGCTTCAGGTATATCCTCAACAGCTAAAACCCGGTACGATTTCCGAGCAAGCCGACTACTGCTTAACTCATAAGCCGTTGATATCTTCAGGTCGATTCTTTAATTTAGGGGTATTAGGCTTAGAGTTTAGATGCTAAGCCCCAAACCCCGAACCTTTAACCCCTAGACCCCTAAACCCTCATCCCTAAACCCCTATATATAGAACCCTTCTAGATCCCTTTTGAAGGAACCCTTACAGATCCTAAACCTTGATCAACCCTAAACCGTCGAACCCAAAGAAGACGTAGTCGAGCTCCCCCAGTGACCCCCAAGGGTCCAAGTACCTAATAATCTTATGGGTAGTTGTCAAAATTAGGGTCCTTTTTTGGGCACCCTAAATATTAGGTGCAGTATTATAATAAGGACCCAAAAAGGGACCATAATTTTGACAACCACCCATATTCACATATTCTCCGAAATCCTAACCTACATAACTACTATCCTAAAACCAAGTACCTTACGTATGATTGGGTCCTTCGGACCCTTGGGGTGAAGTCTGCGACCAGGAGCCACCCGAACCAAACTCCCCGGAGCGAAAACGTTTCTGGGCTGCCTTACGGATTAGTAAACCTACCAAGGGGTGTAGGGTTTAAGGTATTTGGGGTTTAGGGCTTAGGGTATTTGGGGTTTAGGGTTTAAGGTATTTGGGGTTTAGGGTTTAGGGTATTTGGGGTTTAGGGTTTAGGGTATTTGGGGTTTAGGGTTTAAGGTATTTGGGGTTTAGGGTTTAGGGTATTTGGGGTTTAGGGTTTAAGGTATTTGGGGTTTAGGGTTTAAGGTATTTGGGGTTTAGGGTTTAAGGTACTTGCTTTTTGGACCCTATCAATTCCATATTAGGGTTTCTAATAAGGACCCGCAGAAAAGTAGGTTTTGGTAGGTAGAAAAGTAGGTTTTGGTAGGTTAAGGTAGGCGACTGTACGGGCTATTTTGGGGATGCTGGTAAGGGCCTTTTGAAGAGCTACTGTAGGGGTGTTGAAGCTTCAGGGACCCAGTCCAGGTCGCCCAGTGCGCACCTTGCCTTGTTGTGGGCTTAGGTTCCTTGTAACTCTTCGCAATACCAAGACGGGAGCCCTTTTCCTCACTAGGTTACTGGTGGTCCTACTTGGAGGATCATATGGCTTAGTATGTATGGATATAAGTACCTTAATTGGGGGTATAAGCAATGATAAATATAGGTAACCTAAATATAACCCTAGGACCCTAGTTACTAAGTCGCATGGTCCTTTAAGTAGGAAAGGGTTTAGGATGAAGGGTTTAGTGTTAGGGTGTTGGGTCATTAGAGTATTAGTTGGACTGGGGTTTAGGGTTTTAGGTTCTAGGGTCCCCCTAAACCCTAAACCCTAAAATAGGGTTTAGGGCTAAGGGTCTTCACAAGTCCTAAACCCTAGACCCTAAACCCTAAACCCTGAACCCTACTGAACCCTAAACGGCTCGGGAGTTCAGAGGGTATGCTTCATGCCACGTCTCCTGAACCTTCAGGCAGGTTTTGATGGTCTTTAGGGGTGAGGGTTTAGGGTTTAAGGGCGCCCCCGTTCTGCTTTGTAGGGCTTCATGCAGGTGCATTCAAAATGGAATTTGTGAGGTGATTCTCAAAATTTCCCTTCGGGTCTCACTGTTGATGGACAGGAGCTTGCATTCTCCAACATAAGGAGTTTGCGAGAACTCTTACAGCTTCAGGTAGCGGAGATCATGTAGGAATTTATCCATCGGCAGTCATTGGATTTTCCTCTGGTTCGTTTCAAGAAGCCGCGTTTCAAGCACCCCTCCCAGAGAAAGAAGGACACCGTAGCATTTTCATCTATCGCTGGGAGCATGCACCCTAAACCCAAAGCCCGAAACCCTGAACCCGTACTAAACCCCAAGCCCCGTACTCTGAACCCCAAACCCTATAGATCCCTTAAAGGAACCGAACGTGCATGTCATGCCAATTCTGCCGGCCATTTCGCTGCCAAGTCGGTGTCAAGCGGAGCACCCTGACAAACCCTGCGCCAATAAGCTTGTTCAGGGCTTGGGGTTGATAGTATGGTATCGTGCGATAAATAGTTATGACATAGTTGAGTTTAGCCTGGTTGAGAAGTATAATCGAATGTAGTAGTAGTATATTGAAAGGTTTAGGTCGGGGTTTATCAAGTTTCGTTTCTTACTTGCTAAGGAATTTGTTTGAAGATGTCAAATTCAAGAGTTCTATAGTAAAAACTCAGGTTTACTCATTATGGTAAATTCAAAGCAAGCTGCGTAACAAACTCCAGGCCGCAGAGCTGGTCCCAGTTCAAGTCTAGGAGATTTGGCAAGGCCCCCCAGAGACTCCAATACCCCTTAATTAAGGAATATACCTTAAATTATAGTAGGGTCCCTAATATAATTTAAGGTATATTCCTTAATTAAGGGGTATTGGAGTCTCTGGGGGTAGCCTTTATCAGTATCCAGGCCGGGGCCATGCACAGATTCGCACTGCAGGACATCGCGCAGGTTCGCTGGTCGCACGATGCCGTCTACGACCACTTCAAGGATGGCAAGAGTATCTTCGAGACCGTCGTGGACCTGTTGCATGGGAAGCTGAAGCTGCAGGACCTGCCTCCTCTGCAGTTGGTGAAGAAAGGCGGGCAGTATTACTCTCTCTCGAATCGCCGACTCTATGCCATCAGGCAGTGCCTTAACCTGCCAAGACCAACTTTTTTTGTAGGGTGCCCTATAAATTCCATGTCTGGCGTTTAGGGTTTAGGGTTTTAGCGGAAGAGCCTACACAAAAAAAAGGGGAGGGTTTAGTTTAGTGTAGTTCAAGGTATGCGCAGATCCTGAAGCAGTTCGGGCAACTGCACGAGAAGACATCGCTACCGGTGCCCGTGAGCTTCGTCGAGAGCTACTCGGGGGAGGCCTTCACGAGCGTTACGGGGGGCCTGAGGGTGGCCCAGTAGCTGAACGAGAGCACTTTACACCTCTTGGGATCATATGATTCCCTATGGAAGAAAAGTTTACACCTTTTTGGAATAACCTTAAATTTCCCTAGACCCTAAACCCTGAACCCGAAAGCCTAAAGCCGCCTAGGCACAACTAAGGTGGACCTTATCCGGCCACTGCAGGGCCCCAGCTTCCCCGTGCGCAATGTGGGTCCCAGGAGGCCTCCCAGCGCTCGAAGCTTGTCTCGGGATGCCCTTAGCCACTCCAGAGAACGGAACCGATCGCTGTCCAGGGGAAGATGCTGGGCTCTTCTTAAGGAATTTGTTTTAATCATGTTGCAACTATAAGGGAAACCAAGTTACGGCTCTTAAGGAATTTGTTGCAAGGATAACGAAAACCTAGCAGTTACCACAGATCCCAACTACGGCAACTTAGGCCAATAACTTCCGTTCACAGCCCAGGATGGGTTTAAACCCTAAGCCCTAAACCCCTAAACCCCTGTATAGAACCTTATAGATCCCGTTGAGGGGACCCTTATGGACCCCTTTAAAGGAACCCTAGGAAGCTTTATGAGCCCAGGAATAGTCTAACGGGCCCCAAAATCCTATTCTAATCACAGGCGCCTACATCATGGAGCCCTAATAGCCTCCCTTTTGGCAACCTTAAACCCCTAAAGCCCAAACCCTAAATCCGAAAACCCTAAACCCTAAATCCGAAACCCCAAACCCTAAACCCTAAACCCTAAGCCTTAAGCCCCTAAGCCCCTAAACCCCTTTATAGAACCCTTATAGATCCCTTTAAAGGAACCCTTATAGACCCCTTCAAAGGAACCTAGGAACCTTTCAGAGCCCAGGATGGGTGGAGCCGGACCCCCAGGGCCGAAGGAGGATCTCCTTCGGTCAGACGGACTGGCGCTTTATTTTGACCGAGTCTGGATTCGTGTTAAAGGGATCTTTAGGGTTCCTTAGAAGGCTTTTTTAAAGGGATCTATAGGGTTCCTTAAAGGGAGCTATGGGGCTTAGGGTTTAGGGTTTACGGTTTAGGGTTTAGGGTTTAGGTTTAGGGTGGATTCGTGTTAAAGGGTTCCATACGGGCTCCTTTTCAAGGGACCTACAAGGGTGCTTAGGGCTCCTTTGAAGGGTTCCATAAGAGTCTGGATTCTTGTTAAATGGATTTAGGGTTCCTTAGGATTTAGGAAAGGGATTTGAAAGAGTTATTGTCAAAGATTTAGGGCTCAGGGTTTTAGGGTTTGGGGTTTTGGGGTTTAGGGGTTAGGCTTTTGGGGTTTAGGGTTTGGGGTTCTTGTTAAGGGATATGTAGTTTAACTTACCGTAATCAGGAAACCATATTATTTACTATAGATCCCTAGTAAGGTAACTTGAATTAAATCCCTTCTAGAAGCCTTAAAGGAACCCTTATGGATCCCTTAAAGGAGCCCCGATTATGGATTCTGGTTTTCCTTGACAAGAACCCTAAACCCTAAACCCTAAACCCCTAAACCCTAAACCCTAAACCCTTAACCCTAAACCCTAAACCCTAAACCCCTAAACCCTAAACCCTAAACCGTAACCCAGGAGTGCGACGAGCCCAGCCTGGTCCGAGAACGAAGGCCAAGTCCAGCTCCCAGGCCTCGCGTGCAGCCGGAGCCTAAGGAGCTGCCCAAGAAGGAGCCACCGGTGCAGCCAAAAGAGAAGGAGGGCTTAGGGTTTAGGGTTGGTTTAGGATTTAGGATTTAGGGTTTAAAGATTTAGGATTTAGGGTTTAGGGTTTGGAGCTGCCCAAGAAGGAGCCACCGGTGCAGCCAAAAGAAAAGGAGACAGCTGCACCGCCGAAGGTGAAGGAGACGCCCTCACAGCAGCCAAAAGTCCGGGAGCCCAAAAGCACATATTCGTAAGCATTTTATGGGGATATCCCTACCTTATTGGGCCTCATTATAAGGGGGTGTATATGGTCCTTCTTTTTGCTTAATGTGCTATTTTGGGGCCCTAAAAAGTGAAGGAGACACCGGCACAGCCGAAAGAGAAGGAGAAGGAGACCCCGGTGCAGGCAAAAGCGAAGCAGACCCCGGCAGCCCCTAAAAAGAAGGAGCCGCCGGCAGTGTGCAAGGAGGAGTCCCAAAGCAAGGCGAAGAAGGCGAAGAAGAGCAAATCCACGGTTTAGGGCTTAGGATTTAGGGTTTAGGATTTAGGGTTTAGGGTTTAGAGTTCGCAAATAGGGTCCCCTCGAAAGGGTACTATAGGGTTCTAGTCCCTGCCAACCTCCACCCAGGAGGTGGTTCCTGCCGCTTGTCCCGACTTTAAACCACGCGATCCTGAACCCAAAACCCTATAGACCCTACCTTAAGCCGGAATAACCTACCTTTTTAAGGACTTATATAAGGAAATCATAGTAAGGAACCTTAAAAAGGTAGGTTATTCCGGCTTAAGGTAGGCCCTATACACCCTAAGCCCTAAACCTGAGACCTTTCAGACCTAAACCCCTACAGACCCAAAGCCCTGTACGTTGACTGCATTGCTATGCGGAGAAAGGGGCCATTGCATTACACAAACCTTGACTGCAACCCCCAATCCTACGGTTGATGATGTAAATCCTGCATTACCCTAAGGACCCTAAACTATGGGGATTATGGCATATTCCTGATTATGGATAATGCAGGGTTTATATCATCAACCCTAAACCCTAAACCCTACACCCGAAACCCTAAACCCTAAACCCTACACCGGAAACCCTAAACCCTACAAGGCTGCGCAGAAGACGAAGACGGACCCAGGTTTAGAGAAGGGCAAAGAAACCCCTCCTTTGACCTCGGAAGGTTTCTTGGCCGTACTTGGAGTTGGTTTTGTTAATATTATACAGTCTATTTTAGTATATTTCAGTATATTTCCGTATATTTCAGTATATTATAGTATCGTATGAGCTTTTCTTGCGGTTAGAGTTCAGGGATCGCACACTATATTGTTAAGTAGGGACATTTACGATTGTATTTCAAGGATCTGCAAAACAGCGCAGGTTACCCTACGCTCCCAAGCTGCAAGAGGACGAAGACGGAGACGGAGGTCTGGGGAGTACATGGAAACATTGTTTTGATTTTCGTTAACTGTACTATACTCCCGAAGAAACAGCTGAACTTGCAAGTTTTGCAAGAGTAATTACCAAGTTCAGTATAGAGGTTGGAGAGCTGGTGCTGATGTGCCTGAACTTACAGAGAGCCGTTCCGAAACCACGGCAAGCAGTTCCGCGGCCCGAGATCCGTGACTTACTGGCGAAGCTTGCGCCCGGCGGGGAGGACTCGAAAGTGCAGTCCTGGTTACTAGGTAGGCCTTTGGGACATTTTCTATTTTCCCTTATTGGGCTTAATAGGACCCTATTTACGAACATGTTTCAGAGGCTTTAAAGGGCCAACCTAGGTTAGCGGGAAGTGGGTACTCCTTGGGCCACCAGAGCTACTACGAGAAGCTCTTGCCCTCCTTGCATCAGCTGGTGGATCGACTTACCACGCAGCTTGCGGACACCGAGCGGGTGGGGTGTCAGCAGTGGGAGGATTCAGCTGACACGCCGGAAAAAAGTCAGAGGGAGACGATTGGTCCGAGCTTCCTATTTGGGAGTTTCCGCAAATTAGGGGTACCTGATTTTGGGGTCCTTCTAATAAGGGTCCTACTATTTGGGGTACTATATTTGGGTCCCATGTTTTCGGAAACTCCCATTTGGGGCATGGGTATCGGGCTTCGGGTATTAGGTTCAGGGTTTAGGGTCTAAGATGGTCTAAGGTTCAGGGCATTGGGTTTCGGGATGAATTTGTTGACAGAGCTGCAACTTACATGGGAGTTTAGGGGACCCTGATATGGTACCGTGAATAGTAAGTAGGATCCGCATAAATTCCGCATAACATATAAGGACCCCGAAAAAAGTACCCCTAATTTTCGGAAATGTGAGATGCAGACCTCTCTACCATATCATAGGGTTTAGGATTTAAGGGTTTAGAGTCTAGGGTTTACCTTAACCCCAAGTAACCTACCGTTTTCAGGACTTATAAAAAGAAATCATTATCAGGGACCCCTAAAAGGGTGGGTTCCTTAGGGTCCAGGTAGGGTTTAGGATTTAAAGGTTTAGGGTGGCATCCATTGCCAAAAGTCGTGGAGCTTAACTGCATGCCGGAACACGAGCGATGGTACAGTATTAAATCGTGCCCTTGATGCGAAATGCTGTTGATCAACATTGTGCCGCACTTGTTGCCAGCAATCCCGAAGCCCTACTTTCGTGTGTTAGACGCTTAGATAGCTATGCATACAGGCTAAAACCCTATTGAAATCCTATTCCGAACACTCGTCGTCCAGGTCTGATATTTCCGATAAGCACCCAGATTCCAAACGCTCGTCGTCTAGGTTTGACATTTCGGATAAGCGCCTAGAGCCGCTCTAGGTGTAAATGTGGATGTCCTACTTGGAGGATCATGGGACTTAGGTAAGTATGGTTATAAGTACCTTAATTGGGGTTATAAGTAACTATAAGTATAGTTACCCCTACAATAACCCTAGTTACTAAGTCCCACGATCCTTTAAGTAGGGGTTCCCTACATCTGCTTTGTCCGAGGTGCGCCGCCTCCCCCTCCGGTGGCTTCGTTGCAACCAGGGCCTTGGGGTTTTGCCTGCCTGGTCCTACCAGAATCACTAGCACCCAGCCCCCCAAAACCCTAAACCCTAAACCCTATACCCTAACCCCTAGACCCCTAAGCCCCTAAACCCTAAGCCCTAAACCCTGACCCAGGGTAGGGGGGCTAGATCCCTTGCTTCTTCAAACAAGCACTCAAAGAACTCCTTTATAGAACTATAGAGCCTAGATTTTGTGCAACCCTTCATCGAACCTCTACGGTTGATGATACAAATCCTGCATTACCTTAAGGACCCTAAACTGTGGAAATTATTGTATATTCCTTATCATGGGTAATGCAGGATTTAGATCATCAGCCGCATGAATCAGGGCAGCATGCTTGGCTCTGCCCTAGTGCCAGCTGCGGCGGCCGAGGCAAGGCATTGCTGGAATGGAGTACGAAATTTGGGGGGGGGAGATTAAGGGATTCAGCGGATTTACAGGGTTTAGGGTTGAGGCTTTAGGGTGTAAGGGTTCCAGGATTTCCTTTGCGGGATATAGGGGCTAAAAAAGGGTTCAACAGTTCCTGTGGATGTATCAGTCCCGTCCTAAGTAAGCTCGCTTATACTAGAAACCCCATGTGGCATAACTTATGTAATCAGGTATGTTCCGTAAATATGGTTGAAGTATCGGGGATCGAAATATAGTCGGATCCTGACAGTGATTCATTCTCCGTCGTCGAGGAGAATTGGATATGCTTGGTGGGTTGGCACCATACCCAAGCCCTCTACCCTCAAACCTCAGCCCGAAACACCCTAAACTCTAAACCCTAAACCCTAAACCCTAAACCCTAAACCCTCAAGCCCTCAACCCAAGCCCCAAAACCCAAAGCCCGGAAACCCTAAAGCACTAAACCAAAAAGCGCTACACCGCATAAAAAAGGGAAAGCCCCTCATAGAACTCCTAACATATAGGACCCTTCAAGGTAAGGAACCCTTGAAACTTTAAGACATTGTCATACTTGGAGGATCATGGGGCTTCGTAACTAGGGTTGTGATTAAGGTAGCTATAGTTATATCTACTTATAGCCCCACTCAAGGTACTTCTAACCCTGGTTACTAAGTCCCATGATCCTGCAAGTATGGAGGCGCACTCGCCCCTGTGGCTGGCAGAGGAGGCGCCCACGGGAAATCTCGCCTGAACTCTAAATCCGAAGACCCTCACATTAAACCCTTTTAGGGTTTAGGGTTTAGGGTTTTAGGGTTTTAGGGTTTTAGGGTTTTAGGGTTTAGGGCTTTAGGGTTTTAGGGTTTAGGGTTTAGGGTTAGGGTTTAGCCGAACCCCGAACCCTGAGCCCCAAACCCTAAGCCCTACCCAGGCCCGCGCCCCCAGAAAGCCGGTACCGGCTTGAGGGTACCGTCCAGGTAGTAGGATTCAGGGTTTGGGGGTGTAGTGCTCTAGGGTTCAGGGTTTTCGGGGTTCTGAGATTCTGGGGTCAGGTTTAGTGAGTCTCAAAGTTCAGGTGCAGAGGTTTTGGAACGGAGGGTTGAGCCTGTTAATTAATGTTGTTTTTGGCGTCGAGTTTAAGGGACGGTGCGCATCTGAATAAGACGATATAGCACACTAAAGTACAACACCATCATAAGCCCTATTGGATAACTTCCACATCCCTGCATTGCGGGTCATAAGATTAGCCACATCTTGTGACCTACTTAAGAGCTATGGATCTTCAAGAATCCTTGCAACACTCGTATAGTTACCCATGTTTCAGTGTAGGGAGTAAGTCTGGTGTCCTTGCAGCAGGATTTCAACGGCTGCACAGAGGGGAAGGCGCAAACTGGATTTCAGTGCTCGGGCGTCGGGATCGTGGGGCTTAGGATGTCATAGGGGTTGTAGAACTCCTTGAATGTAGCGGCGACTTAAACACACTGTATTTCGTTTCATGAAGGGAGGGGTAAAGCATGTACGGAAATTGACAGTTGAGGGTTTTGGGTTTTGGTATGTTGCTTCTAGGCTACCCTGCTCGAAGCGGGCTTGAAGAACATCATACGTATGCAAGAGCTTCCCTGTGTCTGACTTGCAGGGGAGCCTACACTCTCCATTCCAAACCCTAGACCCAAAATAGGCCCCTGCTATAAGGGCCTAAATGGTCACCGATAGTATGGTTGGGGTCCTTATTACTACAACTCTAGTATAATGGGCCCCCAAAACCCTATTCTAATTATTACGGCCCCTATATTAAGCCCCCCAGCCCCCCTCGGCCATGAGTTCCAATCACCACTCTCCGAACTCCCCGGCCGACACCCTTAACTTTTTAATCCTTACTTGGACCGTGAAGAACATATGGGTAGTTGTCAAAATTATGGTCCCTTTGTGGGTACCCTAAATACTAGGTGCCGTATTATAATAAGGACCCAAAAGGGACCATAGTTTTGTCAACCACGCATATATGCCCGTTTAGGGATCCTTATGATGATGTCTTTATACCAGTGCTTACAACGCGTGTGATAGAGGGTTTAGGTAAACCCCAAGACGCAAGGCGGAGCGAAGTCCCAAGCGCGAAGCCCCAACCCCTGCGCAAGAATGCCATAATCCAGGATCTGCATAAATCCGCAATCATTTCTGTTTTAAGTGTTTAGGGATTAGGGATTAGGGTCTGGGGATTAGGGTTTAGGGATTAGGGTTTCAGGGTCTAGGGATATTCTAGAATATGCCCACCCAAAAGCCTAAACCCCAAACCAAAGGCAGTGTTACGCTTCGGGTGTATGTTTTGGGTGCGAATTTAGGGTTTGAGGGTCTTTTTTCTCGAGGGCCTGCTGTTTCTGAGCTGAAATGGGGTCAGGTTGATTTGGGGTTTAGCATTCAGGGTTTAGGTAGCCCTGCATCCTGCAACCTTCTCCTTTGGTGAGCCTCATACTTTACATCACAATATTGAGCCCGGCGGTTTCGGGAGTTTAGGGTTTGGGGGGAGGTAGGTTTGGGTTTACCGGAATTAAGCCCCGTATAACCTAAGGTACATTCCTTACTCGTGAATTCGGCCAGTCGGTCAGACCTTCTATGTCCTTCCTCGGCATAATAGGGCTCTGAGTCCTCCTGGTCAGCACAATCGCACAACCCGGTACATATGTGGAGAGAACTCTGTGCAAGATTTGGGTGACTTTGGGTGGCGTTAGACTCCTTTAGACACTCGGTTTAAATTCTCGGAGGGGCGCAGTGATGCGAAGCCGCCAAGTTAGCATAGTGTACTTCGACCGCTCCTTAACGAAATCAATATCTGACAAGTACGTATTCCGAAATCAATATCTGACAAGTACGTATTCCGTGCTCGCAATGGTCGTTCGCAGAGCTGGCAAGGGATGAAGGACAAGATCAGCGCCGGCCCCCGTCCCTATGATGATGCAGACCTCGACAACATCACGGACCTGAAGCTGCGTCATATCATTCGCTTGCTCCTCGAATTCCGGATGCATGCAGCCTGGGCACTGGACCTTCTGCATGGGCGCTCTTTTGAAGCTGTGCGGCACAACCCGGTAGTTGGCGAGACCCCAAGTGCCAAGAAGCACGTTGCTTCTAGTCAGCTTTTTGCTGGCCTTGAGCCACAATCTGCAAACCTCACCGCCCATGAGCCTTGCGCATGTGGGTAGTTTTCAAAATTCGGGTCCATATCAGTTTTTTTGTTTACAAGGTTGCCGTACTATTTTGGTGACTTAAAAACTGACCTTAATTTAGAGAACTCCCCATGTGCTGTGGAGATCGAACTGCCTGCGGCGACCCTAAAGAACTTAACTACGTTTTAAGGACTTAGTATAGGGAAATCCTGATAAGGATGTAAACAAGCATATAAAATACCTTTTCAGGACTTAATATAAAAAATGAGGATAAGGATGTATCAAAACATAAACATACCGTTTAAGGACTTAGTACAAGGAAACTATGATAAGTATCCTAAAAGGCTGCTTGTTCTGTGAGCAGAAGACAGTCTGGAAGCTGGAGCTTTAAACGGGCAAGGAGACTTTGTCTGGTGCTTTGTAGGAAGCGGCTGGCTTCCCGAACTGGAATAATTTGCCGGCCCTAACCCCCAAACCCTAAGCCCCCAAACTTGAATTCCCAAAGCCATAACACCCCTATAAGACCCTATAAAGCCTTAATGGACTCTAGATAACCCTACAGAACAAGGCTGAGCCTCTGCTGTCGAAGGCCTTCGAGCTCGGCCGCATGGATCGCATCGTCTGTGGCGTCGTTACAGCCGAGGGCCGGCACACGAGGTTGGGATGCTATGTACGGCTTTTCGGAAGAAAGCCAAGAGTAATAATACAAGACACAAAAAGGGTAATGACCTTACATACATACGTGCGTACTTACGTGCATGCATGCACGCATGCATGCATGGGTGCATACATAGGTACATACATACACATATTTACACACACACACACATATATATATATATATATATATATATGTATCTGTCTATCTAGCTAGCTACTTATCTATCTACATATATGAATGTATACATATACATGTATATATATATATATATATATATACACATGTATGCTCATATTTATACGTAACCTGCACACACAGACCCATGATTTTGACGAGTGTATTGGTTGTTTTTGAACATGGATGTAGTGTTCTCTGTAGTTTGGCATTCTTGCCTCAAGCGAGGTTTTTAGGATTTTTTGGTGTCAGGGTTTCAGGTTGTTGGGTTTAAGGGGCTTTTTCCCGTGGGGCGAAGTGTGAGTCAGAAGTCTGTGGGATTCCAGGGATATGTAGCCAGTTGGTCGGGGAGTCTATCTTCGTGTTATAATGCTCCTTTAAGGGTTCCTGTGAAAGGATTCCTTTGAAATGGTTACTATAAGGGGTACTATAAGGGTTCTGTAGTACAGGGGACTCAAGAATCTGTCTGGTTCTTAGTAGGGAATGGGGGAATGGATATTGGGGACTACTATGGGGGATATACATGGGCTACTAGAGGGATCCATTCCCCCAGTCCCTACTAAGCACCAAACAGTTTAATATTTGTTTGGCTCTACGAGTCTTCTCGGCACTTTCGACAATTAGGTTCGGGACGAAGGCTTTACCGGTATGAGTTTCGGTTCTTTCTGCACAGCCTCCCTGCCCCCGAGTCCAGCTACTGTATTCAAGCTTTTCTATCAAGTGTTTTGCAAGAAATTCAGAAATTCCTGCTCTTCAAACCCTGAGCCCTGCATACAAAGCTGAGTCGTTGATCAAGAGTTGTTGGAGTGAAGCTGACGGGTAAACCTGCTTAGGAGCCCTTCACCCTGCTACCACCACGGTTTTGGGTTTAGGGTTTTGGGTTTAGGGTTTAGGGCCACAACCTAGTTTTTGTTTGTAGGCTCCCTCGTTTCGGGTTGTAAAGAGACCCGGCAAAAGCAAAGTCGTCCCGGTAGTTTCAGCTTAAAAGTAAGCCTCCACCACAGTGACATAGTGCTTCTGGGGCTAAGTTAGGTAAGAAGTAGCAGCATTCGGTTTGGGCCCTGTTGCAGGTATCTGGTGCTACATCAGCACTTGTTGCTTCTTGTGCAGCCGGACGGGGCGGGGGGGTAGCGTCGCGCAGGGTTGTCAAGTGCACTTCAATGCCCAGAAATCCTAAACCCCAAACCCCTAAATCCTTGACCACTTAGGGCAATCTCTGGAAGCCCTAGCTCATATAGTCCTGTAGCAACCACTACGGAGCTGCAAACCTATAAACCTCAAACTTTCAAACCCTTAAGATCGAAATCCCCATAGAGCAAGCCGGATTTGCCCCAGACCCAAGCCCGAAAACCCCCAAGGACCCAACCCTAAACCCAAAACCCCAAACCTAAACCTTCAAGCCCTCAACCCAAACCCCACATCCGAATCCTTACTTGGAGGGTCATGGGACTTAGTAAGTATGGTTACAAGTACCTTATCGTAATTGGGGTTACAAGTAGCTATAAGCATAGTTACCTTAGTATCAACCCTAGTTACTAAGTCCAATGATCCTTTAAGTAACCCTAGAACCCCTCTTATAGAACTCTTATAGAACTCTTATAGATCCGTTTTAAGGAGCCTTTTCAGGGTCCTCCAAGTACTCGCAGGATCTGGTGCAACCTGGTTGGGCCGTGGCGCGCACCCTGGTTCCACTGCGGCACGTCGATGCGCAGGCGGGCCCCCCAAAAGCGAAGCTCAGACTCAGATTCTCTTCAGGACTTTAGGGGTTTTGGATTTACTGTTTAGAGGGGGCTAAGGGGTTTAGGGTTTAGGACTTTAGAGGTTTAGGGTTCAGGGTTTAGGATGTAGGGTTTAGGGGCTTAAAAAGGCACCTGAAAAAGGATCCTGATGTTGGGGTGTAAGGGGTCCTGAAAAAGCACGTAAACCCAAGGATCCCGAATTGCAGAAGCGAGTTGTGAGAAACTCCATGTGTTTGGGAGGTCTTCTGTGCACCTTGCCGGTTTATGGTTCAGGGGTTTCGGGAGTATAAGAGTTTAGGCTTGCCCCAAGGGTCCAAGTACCTAATAATCATGCTCTCCGAAATCCTTACCTACATAACTACTATCCTAAAACCGAGTACCTTTTTGTTGGGCTGTTGGGTCCTTTGGACCCTTGGGGTTAGGTTCAGAGGCCAAGGGTTCAGAGCTTCTGGGCTTCAGGGTGTCGGTGTCTTGCAGCAAGTGAGCTCTAAGCCTTAACCTAACCTTAAACCCATACGCTACCCTGAACCCAAAGCCCTACCCTAATGCACCTGGACCATCGTAGTGAGATCCTTAACCTTAGCCCTCGAAGCCCAAACCCTTCCTCAGAAAGCCCCTCACCGTCTTAGGAGACTTAGGGTAAACCCTAAGCTTTCTCAGCCCGCCGTTGCGAGCGCGCAAGGTTGACCGCACCGACCACCGGATGTTACGCCTGACCCTGCGCCTGGCAAAGGGGGCTTCGTGCCCAGGGGAGGCGAGAAAAGCCGGTTTTCGGTTTCCTGTAAAGGGATCAAGAGGGTTTAGGGTTTAGGGCCAATTTTTGGGATTTCGGGGCTTGGGGGTTCGGGGCCATGTTAGGGCTTCAGGTTTCTGGGTTTGGGACCCTTTTTATAAGGGCTAAGGGTCAGGGGTTTAGGTCCTTTTCTGACGGCTGCCCGTTGTATTCCAGCCCTGCTCTAATGCAGACCAGATTTGTATATACCACTATTTTGACTGCCTTGGGCGCGAGTCGCTGTATATAGCTATACTCTGGTAAGACCCTATTCTACTGGAGTCCACATATAGATATGCGATAGTATTAACCCCATCCTATTCTATTTTGGCCAGCCTATTCATCTTGTAGTTTTAATGGTGCGAAGTCCGATGTTGATTTTGCAGACCCCGACGTGTAAACTCACGGGTACAAGACTCGTTCTCGAAGTCCGCAATTCCCGAGCCTTTCAATCCCCACCCTAAACCGTAAACCCTGCACACCAAAGCTGCAAGATTAGTTAACCCCGAATAACCTACCTTCTTAAGGAATTCTAAAAGGAAATCTTGATAAAGAGCCCTAAGAAGGTAGGTTCTTCAGGGTTAAGGGAGGCCTAGGGCAGACTGAAGCTTGAGAGGAATGCTTAGGGTTTGATTTCAGTCTAAGAGAACAGCATACTTGGAGTAGCATGGGAGTTAGTAAGTAGGGCTTTAAGGGGTCCCTTTAAGGGATCTATAAGGGTACTGTAAGAGTTTAGGGTTTAGGCTACTTGGAGGGTCATGGGACTTTGTAAGTATGGTCAAAATTGCCTTAGTTTGGCTATAAGTAACTATAAATATAGTTACCTTAGTAGTAACTCTGGTTACTAAGTCCCATGTTCCTTTAATCAAGGACAGAGCCCTCAACGCCCTCAAGAGGCGTCTGCATACGACCCCGGCGGTGCGGATCTGGGCTTCGGGGTAGCAGAGGGCGCTGCGGGCCCACAGCACCCCGGACGGTTTAGGGGTTTACTTGGAGGGGCAGGGGACTTAGTAAGTAGGGTTATAAGTAGGGTTATAATTGGGGTAACTCCATTTAGGGTACTTATGAGTCTAATTATAAATATACTTGCTAAGTCCCCTGCCCCTCCAAGTAGGGTTTAGGGGTTTAGGGTTTAGGGTTTAGGGTTTGGGATCCCAGACCCTGAAATCCAAAAACTCCAAATTCCCTTATTTCATTTGAAGATACCTGAAATTACAACAACGAAACCTACTAAGATTTAAGGTACCTTCCTTCATACAGGGATTTTGCAGTCTCTGGGAAACCCTAAACCCTATACCCCAAAGCCTAGACCCCTAAGCCCTAAACCCTGAACCCCTAAAACTCACAACTCTAAACCCCTAAACCCTAAACCCCAAACCCCTAAAACCCTAAACTCTAAACCCCTAAACCCGTTTTCGGGGTCTGGGGTTTAGGGTTCCTGTCAGAGTCGGCTACATGTAAAACGCTTCTATCGGGGGTGTTCAGGGTGAAGGGGTTGGGGTTGCAGGCCTACTTCCGTAATGGCATATCAAGGGGTTTAGGGGTTTAGGGGTTTAGGGGTTTTTAGGAGTTAGCGGTTTAGGGGTTTAGGGTTTAGAGTTTGGGGGTTTAGGGCAGATCGGAACCCCTTCGTTTTTTTTTTTTTTTTAACGTGTTCGTGTGGTCCCATTCGGGGAATAAAGGGTGTCGCGACATTTTCTTGAGAGAATTGCACCCTACCGTAGCATTTACATCGTGCCCTAAATTATGAATCCAAAGGTCTACACCCTAAACCCTAAACCATAAACCCAAAACCCTACTAATTTTTAAACCCCAAACCCTAGGTTTTTAGCCCCAAGCCCTGAACTCGAAGCCTTCACCCAGGACTTCCTGCTTTCTGCTTACTCTCAGCTTCGAGGACGGTTGCACAAGCACGCCTACAGGCTCCATATGTAGTACCATTATGGAATTAGGTTTTGGGGTTTAGGATCCCTGAAACCACAGTGAGGACGGTCTTTTGGGACCTAATTCCACAGTGGTAATATAAATAAAAAAAAAATATATATATATATATATACATACATGTATACGGAGCCTCTGGCACACCCAGGGTTCCAGAGAAGGTTCCCCTGAAAGGGGACCCTCCGAAGGGAACCTTTAATAACTGAAAGGGCAAGGAACTCTTATGGGTGATCCTTTAAATGATCCCTTCAGAGGCTTAGGGATTAGGGTTTAGGACCCTCGCCGGGTGTAGAGCTGAATTTTGCTTGGGGCTGACGGTTCGAGGGTTTACGGGTGAAGAGGCTTAGGGGCTTAGGGCGGCTTTAAGACTGCACCGAATCCTTGAAATTCTGGGAGGTTCGGAGTTCCGACGTTCTGGGAAAACTAGGGTTTTGCGCGTGTTTTGGGGTTTGGTGCCTGAAAAGGGACCCTAATTCAGGGAACTATCCTTATGTTAGTCATGTATGAAAGTGCAAACTTCAATGCCTCTTTTTTGGAATGCTGAAGATTGAGGGCGAATTTTCTGGGCCAGCTGCAGGATCATTGGACGGATTGACCAGGCTAGAAGTGCAATTATAGATAATCGGCAAGTTGGAGTTACTACTAATTGCATCTTTTTATGGTGCCTAGTTATACGACAAGATGCCTCCACAACTCTGCTCTCATGACTAAGTCTCCTACCTGCCAACTCGCTAAGTCTTCATCCTTTCCCAGACGCCTGGGAGGATCCAAGTAGATCACCATCATTATTCTCAGGGTTCCTTAGTCTAGTCGTTAAGGCTAAGGCCCCTGCATTACTCCCCAAACCCTAAACCCCAAACCCTAAACCCTCAACCCCAAACCCTAAACCCCAAACCCTAAACCCCAAACCCTAAACCCCAAACCCCAAACCCTATAAAGGCCCTAAAGCAGGACAACCAGCGGAGGCTCTTTGCGGAGACCCACCTCCGCAAGTACCGAAAGGCCGCGAGTCGCAAATCGTCTCAGGGATTTGGGTCTACTTCGTTGGTTTAGAGTTTAGGGTTTAAGGTTCCTTTTAAGGGATCCAAAAGGGATCCTTAAGGGTTCCTTTAAGGGATCTATAGGGTTTAGGGTTTAGGGTTTACTTAAAAAAGATCATGGGACTTAGTAACTAGGGCTATTACTGCGGTAACTATACTTACAATTACTTCTACCCTCCAATTAAGGGACTTATATCCATAGTTACTAAGTCCCATGATCCTCAAAGTAGGGTCATGGGACTTAGTAAGTATGGTTTAGGGTTCCGTTTTCGGGTACCATAAGGTTGCAAAACATGGTTCCTTAAAGGAATCTAGAGGGGTTCTTTTTGATGGGAGGATCATGGGACGTAGTAAGTATGGTTTTAAGAACCTTAATCGGGGCTTTATGTAGTTCTAAGTAGAATTACTTAAGTTCCATGATCCTTCAGGTAGGGATGGGGGTTTAGGGTTCAGTGTGTAGGGATCTCTAAACGCTACACCCCTTTACAGAACTCGTATAAAGCTGTCTATCAACCCTAAACCCTAAACCCTAAACCCTAAACCCTATCTACTTTCCGAGGCCCTGGTAGATCCCCGGCGCTCGAATTGTGTGTGTGGGATTGGCGTTTTTCAGGCAGATTGAGTTTGCGATTTACCGAGTCCGCCGCTCCTTGAGTCTGAGCCATTTGGGGAAACCCTAAACCCTAAACCCAAAACCCTAAACCCTAAACCCTTCTGAATTTAGGGGGAGGGTATACGGTTTCCCTTTTGCAGACCTACGCTACATTGCCTTGAGGCTGTGCGGGAGCACCTCTCCGCGAATGTGGAGAAGTTTGTGGATGATCTTTGCTTGGAGGTTCATGGCTAGTTATAAGTGGGGCTTATACTAAAAGTAGGATAACGATAGCGACAGCCTATGTTGACCTATAACTACCCTAGAGCCCTAACCCCTAAACCTGCAAACCCTTAAACCCTAAACCCTAAACCCCTAACCCCTAAACCCCTAAGCCCCTAAACCCTAAACCCTGAATGCCCACTTTAACGACCCATGAGCCTCCCAGTGCGAACAGTGAGCCAGCGCGCTGGGACAAAAGAACCGCCCCTCCTCCTTCAACGATCATAGGACTTAGTAATGGTTATGAGTACATTCGAGTCATACGTACTTATAAGTATTGTTTCCCTTGTTATGACCCGTGATCCTTTAAGTAGGGTTCCCTTTAGGGGCTATTCGTATAACTAAGTCCCATGACCCTTCAAGTAACCCCAACTTACAGAACCGTTTGGATCCCGTTTACGGAGCCCTTTAGGGAACCGTAATTACTAAGTCCCATGATCCTGTATGCTGGCCGCAGTTGGGGACGGCAGGGTTCGGCTTGGGGTGAAGCGTTTTCTTTAATCCATCAGGTTTCCTTGAACGGGATCTATAAAGGTTCGGGTTTAAGATTTAGGGTGTTTTAGGGTGAACGGTTTAGTTTAGGGTTTAGGGTGTTTAAGGGTTAAGGGTTCAAGGTCTAACTAGGGTGTTCGCAAGAGTTAAGGCGTTAGGGTTTAGGGTATTTAAGGGTTAAGGGTTTATTGTTTCGGGTGTTTAAGGGTTGAGGCTTTAGGGTTTATGGTTACGGGTTTAGGGTTTTGGGTGTTTAAGGCTCACTTAAATGGGCTTGGTCGCACCTCGGGCTCCCTGGTATACACGAGCGTGAGTTAGAGCAGAGTTGGATACGAGCACCTCAAAGCAGGGTACACCCAAAGCCCGCTTGATTCGCAAGGTGTACGGTAAAAGCATTTAGGTTTGGGGTTCATTGGGCTACAGTTTGCAGCCATGCGCCAAGAACACAAGTAACTCTAATCCACAGCCCCACATAGAGAGTTCAGGGAATATTCCATCGTAATCCACATTAGCTATTCTCATTTCAGTTACTACAATATGATCAGTATGATAGAAGGAGGTCCCTGTCCCGCAAAATCCCAGTTCCAATTATTCCGGGTCGACCCTGGTCTGCAGGTTTCAACTACACCGGATTAATTTTCAAGCCTGCTAGTATAGGGGCCAAAATAGATACCTATACTATGGTGGGGGTTCCTTATTATAACTATAGTATAATGGGCCCCAAAGCCCTTTTCTAACTATTAAGGCCCATACATGAATCAGTTAATCAAAGAGGTTTAGGATGCCCAGTAGTACCCTTATTCCCTTTTTGTAGTCCTAGGTTCCTTATAAACTTACCCAATACCAAAAAAGAGAGGCCTTTTCATTCTTAGGTTACTGGGTATCCTAGTCAATCAAAGAGATTTAGGGTTTAGGGACCGCCCCTAAAGCCTGCCAACCTTGAATTCCCAATCCTATAGCAGCCACGTTTAACCTACATCCCTACACACTGAACCCTCATAGAACCCTCATGGAACCCCAAAACGTATAATGCACCTTGTAAAGCCTTATCGAATCCTAGTCCTAACTTCTTCAATCCCAAACCCTAAACCCTAAACCCTCAACCCTAAACCTTCAACCCTAAACCCTAAACCCTCAAACCCGAAACCCTCAACCCCAAACCCTCAACCCTAAGCCCTCAAACCCTCAACCCCAAACCCTCAACCCTAAACCCTCAAATCCTCAAACCCTGAACCCTCAACCCTAAACCCTCAACCCTAAACCCTCAACCCTATCCCGTCGGGCTCTTTGGGTAAGCAGGGAAGTGGATGCGAACCAGGCGGACAGCGATGGGCTGCGTGTGATTGGCCCGCATCCGATCTTCCTGTAGGGTTTAGGGTTTCGGGGTTTATAAGGGTTCCTTTAAAGGGGTCTATAAGGGTTCCTCAAAGGGATCTATAAGGGTTCCTTTTAAAGGGATCTATAAGGGTTCCTCAAAGGGATCTATAAGGGTTCCTCAAATGGATCTATAATGGGGTTTAGGGTCTAGGGTTTAAGGTTTCAGAGTTTCAGGTCAAGGATTTAAGTTTAAAGTTCCGGGTTCGGGTTTTTGCAAGGTTTAGGACTTAAGGTTTCGGGTCTAGGGCTTAAGGTCTATAATGTTTTAAATAGAGAAAATCTCGCTGCGCTCGCAAATCTTGACAGATCCCTGAAGCCGGGGTAGCGCCAAATCCGTGATCACGTGAAGCTTATGCAGGCGAAAAAGGAGCCTACTATTTGCTTAAGAACCCCCCAAAAAATAAAACATGTATTCCTTATGGGGGTAATATAGGGATTATTATTATTTTTATTTTTTGGGTGGGTTTCTTAAGCAAATAGTAGGAGCTGCTCTCATCCCAAGACCCTAAACCCGAAGCCCTAAGCCTAAACCCCCCAAAACCCAAAACCGCCAAACCTCAGCCCTGGATTCCTAAACCCTAAACCCAAGGCCCTACCTTAAGCCGGAATAACCTGCCTTTTTAGGGTTCCTTACTATGATTTCCTTATATAAGTCCTTAAAAAGGTAGGTTCTTCCGGCTTAAGGTAAGCCCTTAGCCCACAGTAGCTTATCGATCCGTTTAAGCCCCATTCACAAGTTCTAACTATCTACGCCCGTATACTACTTCGAGGTTCAGGGGTAGTCCTAAGTGGGGTTATAAGTCCCTTGGCCGTAATATAGGCTATAACTACAGTTATCCTAAGAACCCTAAACACTAAGCCCTAACTAAACCTTATACCCTGAACCCGAAACCGTAAACCCCTATATTAGACCAAAAAGTTTCTAAGCCCTCAATCCCCGCGCAACCTGGCGCTGTGGATCCTTTCTTGGAGGGGCAGGGGACTGAGTAAGTAGGTTATACGTAGGGTGAGAATTCGGGTAAGTCCGTTTAGGGTACTTCTAAATCTACTTAGAAACTTCCTACTAAGTCCCCTGCTCCTCCAAGTAGACCATAGACCCTCATCCCTATAAGGAACCCTATAGATCCCTTTAAGGAGCCCTGTAATAACCCCTACTATATTAACTACTATATAAGTCCCGCTAGGACCCAGAGTAGGCCCTTATTCCCTTTTTTGGCGGTTCAGGTTCCCTTATAAGCCCCTTTAAGCCAAAAAGGGCACCCTTTTTATTCCTAGGCTACTCTTGGGTCTAGTATAGATCCCTTTAAGGAGCCCTGCAAGAACCCCTACTACGTCCCAAAAGCCCCGCCAAGTATCCTGCGCGAACATCAGCCCGGTACTTTCTTTTGGGAGTTTCCGAAAATTAGGGGACCCTAATATAGTACCTTAAAGGGACAAAATGGGGTCCTCTAAGGGTTCCTTAAAGGGATCTATAAAGGTTCTATAAAGGGTTTATGGTTTAGAGTTTCCGAAAATTAGGGGGTCCTTATAATAAGGATCCTACTATTTGGGGTACCATATTAGGGTCCCCTATCCTTAAATAATAGGACCCTTATTTGTGGACCCCCAAAATAAGGTACCCCTAATTCTCGGATACTTTCATATCGCCTTTGAGGGCTCAAGTGCGCAAGTAGTAGGAGGGTTTAGGGTATAGGGTCGTAAGGTTTAGGGTTTAGGGTTTCGGGTCGTAACGTTTGGGGTTTAGGGTTTAGGGTCGTGAGGCTTTTAGGGAGTACTGCAAGGCAGTGCAGCCCTTCCAGTTAGGTAGAGGGCTCGTTTTGGCTGCTTCATCTGGGAATTTCCGCAAATTCGGGGTGTGCCTTACTTGGGTGTCCTTTTTATAGCGATCCTACTCTTTAGGGTACTGTATTAGGATCCGCTGTGCTCGGAAACTCTCATTTACGTACTTGGGCCCCCAACTTGCCCTTGTCCAGGTCCCCAGACCTCGGAGACGTAATATAGGAGCCTTACTTTGAGGATCATGGGACTTAGTAAGTATGGTTATAAGTACCTTAATTGGGGTTATAAGTAATTGTAAGTGTAGTAACCTTAAGAACATCCCTAGTTACTAAGTCCCATGATCCTTTAAGTCGTGAGAAATCCCAGACCCAGGTAGGGCTTTGGGACATTTTATATCTAGGATCTTATTTATTGATCTTTTTCATCGGCTTTGCAGGCCCCACCTAGAGACCCTTGTATGAAGCTTTTGGTGTTAAGCCCGGCTCAGGCTTTCCCCGAACTCTTCTATGAGCACCCCACGCCCAAGTCGTAAATCCTGAGCCCTGAAGCCGTCGTCTCCTTCGGAAATTGCTTTTGTACTTTTGTTCATATAAAGCCAGCGAATGTCAGATATACTAATTTTATCATGGTGATAAGGGGTTGAACCCGAATTTCAATAGTCTTACAAACCTTCTGTCCTCGAGCCGGATAGCTAAGCCAAGCCCTGAACCCCTCCCCAGCCCCAACACTCCGGACCTCCAATGCGGTTCAGGGGTGAGGGTTTCAGGTTTGGGGCTTATGGGGTTTAGGGTTTACTCCGAAATCCATCAATTTTGCACTCGTTATGGCGGCTCTCTATTTTCATTCTACTGAGAGGATTATGGGACTTAACGGCTAGCCTGTAGCGGAACTATACTTGTAGAAACTGATAACAGGGGCACTTCTACCCTTACTTACCAAGTCTCTGCACCCCCCGGTCAGATATCCCTCGCTTGAGGAATTCTTTTGGAGAGCCCCAAAATTCGATTCAGGATCTTTTCAGAGCTTGTCGGATAGCCCGTACCTCAACCCTGAATTAGCTACCTTTCCGGGGTTCCTTATTTTGATTTGCTTACATGGGTGGTTGTCAAAATTAGGGTCCCTTTTTGAGTAACCTAAATATAAGGTGCCGTACTATATTAGGGACCCCAAAAGGGACCATAATTTTGACAACCACCCATATAAGTCCTTAGAAACGTAGGTTACTGCAGGCGAAGATAGGGCCTGAACCCGCAATGCTTAACTCCGGACCTACCTTAATCTACCAAACCCTACTTTTTTGTAGGTTCTTATTATAAACCCTAATA